TTATACTGAGTGAAATAAAGCTAAGAAACATGTTTCACTCACATGTGGGATATACAACTGAAACTGGTGAACACAAACAGCAGTGCGGTGATTGCCAGAGGGAAGGGGGTGGGGGTGATGGGCTCCTAATATATGGTGATGCGAGAAGATCGGACTTTGGGTGGTGGGCACAGTGTTAATACAGATCTTGCAACATGGAAACCCACACCTGAAACCTACATGATCATATTAACAAATGCCACCCCAATAAATTTAATTAAAAAAGGGGAAATTTTTTTAAATTGATTTTTTGTTGTTGTTGGTGTTGTTAATCCTCACCCAAGGATGTTTTTTCCACTGACTTTTAGAGAGAGTGGAAGGGAGGAAGGAAGGAGGGGCGGAGGGCGGGGGGGAGAGAGAGAGAGAGAGAGAGGGAGAGAGAGAGAGAGAGGGAGAGAGAGAGAGAGAAATATCTATGGGAGACACATTGATTGGTTGCCTCTCCCACACACCCTTGACCTGGGCCAGGGATTCAACCTGCAACCCAGGTATGGTACCTTGAATGGGAATCTAGCCCGAGACCCTTCAGTGCATGGGATGATGCTCTAACCATTGAGCACACCATCCAGGGCTTTTTAATGATTTTTTAGAGAGGGAGAGGGATAGAGAGAAACATCGACGTGAAGTGTGAGCGCAAACATCAATCAGCTGCCTCCTGCACGTCCCCCACTCACAACCTATCCCCCACTCACAACCCGGGCCAATCCAGCCAACTCAGGCATGTGCCCTGACCCACTGGGAACTGAACTGGCAACCTTTTGGTGCAAGGAATGATGCCTAACTGAACCACACCACCAGGAATGTAATCTTAATGGGTCAGTCTGGAATTTACTGGTTAGAACCAATGCGGTAATTTGCCATGTGACTCTGTATTTCCTCCACCCCCAGAAGCTGAAACAACCTGCCTGATAACAACCCCCTTCCCTGAGGAAAGCTAACCTTGCCTGACACAATGCTGTCTTTTCTTCTGCTAATAACTTTGTTCCACCCAGTTTCGGCGTCTAAAAGCCTTCCATATTGTACAGCTTCTTGGAGCACCTCTCTACTTGCTAGGTTGGATGCTGCCTGATTCATGAATTGCTCAATAAAGACAAATTAGATCTTCAAATTTACTCGAATTTTTGTTCTTTAACACTATGATTAAAAATGTACCTTTTTTTTCAGTTGACATTTAAAAATTCTGGATAAGTAATATTGTATGACTGAAGCACTGGTTAGTCAGAATAATTCCTGGAGTAGAACGGTGGCATATTTTCTGCACACATTTTCCTTTAATATCTACCTTTGCCACTCACAGTCATTCTGAGTATTTCCTTCTTGCTCTTTGAGGGCTTTACTTCTGGAGAATTACTTGGCTTTAAATACAGACCTGTTTCACAGTTCTCACCACTAGGTAAATTATATTGTAATGTTCAGTAAATTTTCTATTTTATGGTAGGAAAAAACACTAAACATGGTGAGATCTACATGTTAGTTTGCAATGTCACAATAACTAGGTTTAAGTAAACACTGCACTACACATTAGTATCTTAGTCAATAGAAAGTAATTCAGGGCTACACCTTCAAAATGCAACAGGTGAAATTCAGTCTTTCAAAAGGCAAAGGATAACTCTACGTACTGGGTTCAAAGGATTTATGACTTCATTACACATAGCAGTAGGCATTCAATATTAATGTAAAAAAGTCCAGACTTTATAAATTAAGTGGTAGTAACATGATAACACCTAGTTTTTTAAGTGCTTCTTCTTGTTTTAATGTACTTGTGTTCATATATTGCTGGTCATAGAAATGTTGGCAGAGAGGAGTTGGGGAAAGACACACACACAGACTTTTTTTTATCTCAGGTTTCCATAATTGCAGAGTTGCTCTTTATATCTTAATGGGATTCAAGGCAGCTAAAACAGGAATTTGAAAATGATATGGCAGACAAAAAAGGAAAAACATTTGAAAAGACCATATTTTCTTATGTTATCCTAGAAAATATTCTTTAAATAAAATTCTCTTTTAAAAGAAATAATATTCCTACATAAAAACAGCCAAAACAGCAATACTCTTTACTCCTGGTTATTGGTACAATTATCTGCTTTTATAGGATTATTCAATAACTTATTCTTTCCACTTTGGGTAAAACTTTATTATAGGTGTTTCTTCTGCTTCTAACCATATCAGCAGGATCATAGAGGGTATTAAGGTGCCCCGAGGGAGTGTTGAGCTGTTGTTTGGGATAATTTTTAAAACTCTGACCTAAGGCAACATTTTGAGAGACCAAGAGCATTTTCTTTCACACTGTAGCCCAAAGAAACACATTTTGCCCTTCAATATTCCACTGCAGTTGCAATTGGCTAGGATAGTTTACATTTTCCATTCAAAAACTGTTGAAAAAGCACATCAGATTTGCATTTCAACAATGGATGGCAACCATTACAGGCATGTCACCTGAAATAAAAGCATTTGGGGTATTAAAAAAGAAATACTTTTGTAAAATACACAAATGGTCAATTATATAAAAATACAATCATTCAGGTATTAATGAATATCACAAAACAAGAAGAATCTTTTCAAACATATTTGATTTTTATTGCATATCACTTTCACTATTTCTCAGCACCAAAATTTTGTACTTAGCACAGAGCTCCACATTAGTAATTTAATGTTAAAAAAAAATGTAGTCCTGCTTTTTGGGGTGAAACCACAGAAAAATCAACAATATACCATAGTTTTGATACATGGGGTATTGAGGGTGTACTTCTGTCCAATAATATAAGAGAATGGTGACATGAATTTTTGAGATGGAATGAGGGGAAAAGTTTAGAGAAACCTAAAGGCAACAAGTTAATTTGACAACTATGTCTGTCCAGATCCTGCACAAGACTATAGCCGTTTATGCTTTAACAAGCACTTCAGAGAGGATTGTAGATGCTAAGTCTGCAAAAGTTCCTGAATCAGGTCGAACTATAAAGGTTTAGTCCCCCAACTTAGAACCTAGTTAAAAAAAAAAATTATCTCTAGGGTTTGCCATATTATTATTGTTTTTTTTTTAAATTCCTGGGCCAAAAATACATTTTCGCCTCCTAGTAAAAAAAAAAAAAATGCTTAGGTCTAGAATGTTTTAACACGTTAATGCCAGGGAAGCAACTTCACTAAATTGCCTCCCATCAAAGGTAGCATTGCTTCTGTAGAAATACGGTCAGACCCACGCAGGTTTTTGTTTTTAAACTCGAATCGCCACTGGTTCTTTCCTAAAAAGTAGTCTTCACTTTTGACTGCACCCGTGTTGCCACCCTGCCGAGGCCACTTTTTCTTTTAAGTCAAACCGGCGGGGGCTACAGCCGGGACCATTCAACGAAAAGCCGCCCCCCTGCTGGAGGCGGGCTCCACCTGTTGAGGTCAGTGAGCGCCTGAGCCGGGCGGCTTCTCCCTCCAGGTACGGACGTCCGCCGAGCGTTCCGTCTCTCGGAACCAGTTAACCGCAAGCAG